AGCCTTTTTTATTTAACCCATATCCCAGGAACAAACACCGAACTGAACACGGATCTAGCTTGGCGCACTGATTCTCGTGGAGATGAACGAAGGCAGCACACCCCAAAAATTCTAGAAAGGAGCATCAACATGGCAGACAGAGGAATATGAGTAGAGAGGATTTGTATAGGAGTCTTCAAGTGAAACTCTTGAAGGCATACGGTTTAGTAAAGACATTGCAGTAGCTACAACATGTCCGCAATGGCAATTTCGCACTTATTTCCAAGGAGTAAAGCACGAGCCGTTTCTAAAATGTGCCGATTTTTCCTCTCGGCGATGCTATTTTTTTGTGGTGTGTGAGAGTATGATATCTCATGAAGGAGACCATGTTGTTGGAAATAAACCTGAAATTGGTGATTTATGAATTCCCCACCATTATTAGAATGAAGGATTTGAATCTTGGTTGAAAATTGAATTCGGAACATGGAATGAACTGTTTGAAAAATTGTGAAGACTTCATCTTTGGTCATCAGCTGGTAAAGCCATGTTATTCGAGCTCAAGCTGAAATCATCTAGGTAATACAGTCCCCCTCCTCTTGGTACCACAGGCCCAATGATCTCCTTGTTGGGAATATCTCAAAGAAGACAAAATGTAGGGTATATCAGTACGACAAAATTGAGTTCTTCAGTAATTTGACTCACGTACATCAACTCATTGGAGAGAGATGGAACAAGCAGGGTGTAAGATAAGGAGAGAGAGGGTGATAAAAGCACGGTTCCAGCCCGTGTGATCGGGTATGTAACCCCATTGGCCATTGGCATTGGCAATGCGGGTTCTTCTCGGTTAAGTTATATGGGAGAAGTTATCGAGATCAAATGTCATGTGATCTGTAGCCCGGAGTCAATAATCCAAGCGCCATCATCTCGAGAGTTAAAGCTACAAAAAACCTGACCATAGTTACCTTGATCTGTGACTGAAGTGGGAGGTTCCGCCAAGGGAATGACATGCACTTGAGGCTCAACGATGACCACCGTTGCTCTACTCGTGCCTTCTTCAGTTGCAGGTGTATCTCGTTTCTTTCGAGCTTGTAAGTCATGCCACCAGTCTGGGTACCCCGTAGTTTAAAGTATGTATCTCGGGTATGTTTTGTATAATTACTGATGTAGGATAGGAGAAGAAAGCAGTAAGAAAGGGAGGGAGAAACCGGAGAGAATGGGGGAAGAAGCCAGAGGAGTAATCGGGGGAGAAGAGAGGAAACGTAGCTGCAATCCAAAAACTCAATTCATTTTTATTC